AGAGAGAGAGAGAGAGAGAGAGAGAGAGAGAGAGAGATGCTTTGTTCTTCCTTCTCTCCTTGGGAGTTGGCACGCATGAGTTGTCCGAAGACCTCTCGAAACTGCATAAATTATTGGATAATTGTTTTCCTTAAAGGCGTTAAATAAAATATAAAACATGCTAAAATATTATAAATCCTTCGATAATCCCTTTTTTCAAAATAAAAATAAAAAAAATAAAAATAGACCGTCGACAGCAGGGTTCGAACCTGCGCGGGCGAAGCCCAACAGATTTCAAGTCTGTCTCCTTAACCACTCGGACATATCGACGCGGTTATGCACAATAATTTATACATCATATAATATCACATATATTCACAGAAAAAAATTATTTACCATGAAATCTTATCATTTTTTGGTCTTAAATAATTTATACATATACACTAATATGTGCAGTGGACAGTTATTGTTTAGATATTATTATAATCATTGAATGCGTTGAGAAATTAAATAATTCTATATCAATAATGGTAAGCACATTAGCAATCACGAATTAAAGTCTCGTGAGATTCAAGCATTATTACATTTTTATCTTTTGATATATATTATGTATCCTCATATTGTTGGGGTGAACAACTTCTAGCTGTGGCCTCGGGGTCGTCGCGGTTTAGTTCGGGTCCGGATGATGGGAGATCTCTCAGTTTTTTTTTTAGCCCAGTTGGCCCCCCTCTTTCCCTCTTGTGCACGAGGGTTTTTATAACGAGAATTACCATTGTATGATGTGCCGTTGACGTCTAACATTACCGTTGGCGTGGCGTGGAGGATCGAGCCTGAGCAGGGTGTTAATGTGCCTCGACAAGCGTTCCGATCCTCGTTGATCGGGTGGCTCATCAAGTTGACAGAGGCATGATGCATCACCTGACGTAATTGATGTCACGTGAGTCTTATCGTAATTATCACCCTCATCACATACCACCAACGAAATAATTTATCGATAAGAAACTTCTTGTGAATCCAATCCGCGTGTTTTGCATTTGCATGTACATCGATGTCGACATCCATGACTGATTCATGATTCACATTGATTTGTTCCCCGAAACCAAGACAATCGAGGCAAGAAGAAAGTTTTGAGATGGAGAAGATGACATCTACCTGGGCTGGGAGCATCACCCACCCACCATCATCTATGATAGGAAATGGACAGTGATGATCGCAATGGGAGCAAGTGTGAACACATGCTTGCGGAAGAAGTAAGTCTCCGTCAGCCCATTTCTTCCTCCATCGCTCCCACCAATGAAACCAAGGCGGTCTATTATTTTCCATGGAAACGCTATTAATCGAATAGCGAACCAAGTAGAGGTCGGCACTGCCCGTTGCAGATCCGATCAGCACGGCAGAGAACACCGACCTGCGCGGGCCACCACCAGGGGGACCCACGCTCACGCCCTGACCGCCGTCGCCCAGCACCCACTTGACGGCCGTTACGCAGGCGTTCCGTCCCGAGCCCCGCCGTCCTGCCGCGTGCCACGTGATCAACGTTAAGATAAGCTGACGCCGTTCTGTTATGTGCACTCCGCTTAAAGCAAGACCGCACCGGTTTTGTGGGGGCGTAGAAATCCAGTGGCGGAGAGGTGGGGGGGGGGAAGGGTGGAGCGCGTTTATCAAACGCTTGATATGGGGAGCGAGGGCGGCGGCCGAGGGCGGTCAAACCGCCTGCCCGTGGACCGCGCCCATCCTTGTCCGCTCCCACCGCTCCTTCCTCGCCTCCCTTCCTCTCTCCTCCACCCCTCTTTATATGCTCCTCCGCCCGCCCCTCTCTTGCCTCAAACCCAACCCAACCGCCTACCTCTCTTGATCAGGAGGAGAAGGAGAAGTAACTCTTACGATGGCGCCGAGGGTGAAGGCTGCCAACGGCCGCGACGGTTGCGGCGGCGGCGGCGGAGGAGAATGGAAGGGGGCTCGGTACCGGGGCGTCCGGCAGCGGCCTTGGGGCCGGTACGCGGCGGAGATCCGCGACCCGGCCAAGAAGTGCCGCGTCTGGCTCGGCACCTTCGACACCGCCGAGGAGGCCGCCCGCGCCTACGACACCGCGGCGCGCCGGTTCCGCGGCCCTAAGGCCAAGACCAACTTCCCCTGCCCGCTCGACCCCCTCGGTTCCGCTCCCGCCGCCCCAGCCGCCGTCACCATTGCAGCGGTCCACGGCGCCGGCGCTGCCGCGTGCTCCAGCCCCAGCGTCAGCACCGTCGAGTCGTCCACCCCATCGAGGAAACCCGCCGCCCTGGATCTCGAGTTCAGGCACCCGCCCGCCCGGTTCCCCTTCGCGCACTACCTTCCCGCGGCGGCGCGCCCTCTGGTGTTCTTCGACCCGATCGCCGCCTCCAAGGCGGCGGCGGCGGCGGCTCGTCCGGTTGGGCTGCCGGGGTTAAGAGATTTAAGAGCGCCGGTGTGTGGCGGGGTGGAGAGCGACTCGGACTCGTCGTCGGTGGTGGATTGCCCTGGCACCCCGACGGGGAGGATTCGCTTCGAATTGGATCTCAACCTGCCGCCTCCGTCGGAGGTCGCGTGATGGAGGCGCGGAGCCGTCGATCGACTTTTCGTCTAATTTTTGAAGCTGTTGTAAATAATTTATTTTCTCTCTATTTCTTTTTTCCCACGATAAATATTAGGCATCTATCTCACGGAGCAGAAGACATGTTTTCAATACATAAAAAAAATGTTCTTCTATACAACTTATAAATATTTCTATTTGAAGAAACTTGGACGAAAAATTCTCTCTTTTTTTCTTTTTTGAACTTTTCTCAAGAGATAGATGCCTTTTTTATTTCTGAATTAGTGTTTTTTATATTTTTATTTTTTTCAAAATATACTTACAATACATAATAGTAATTCTAATTCTTTTGTGGATCCATGGATGGATGAATCAATCTAATTTTTTACCTAAAATAATTTTTTTATTTTATTTATAAATACACTTGTTGGCTTTTGCCTCGTTACCCCCCTACCCTCATCGCCCCCTTATATATTATCGTAGGGCCTTTATATCGTATCATTCATATCTTATCGTTATTATCTCTACGAGAGCAAAAACGAGTAAACGCAAGAGTGATAATGCATGATAGAAGCAGTGGCCAACGAGGTAGATACCAAGAGAGCAATATAACCTTTTAGGGAAAAAAAATTAAAAAAAAAGGGATACTAACTTAGAATTTCTCAAAATAAAGTATTTTTTATTATCTTTATTTATTTCTCAAAATAAAGATTTGAAATTCTATCTTTGTATATTTATATAGATCACTATATCTTTAATAGGCTTATAGTGTAACTATAAAGGCATAAAAAATAATATAAATTTATTTAAAAAATAATAACTAATAATATAAATTTTACATATGAGAGATTTAATCGATTAAAATTATGGACCGATTTATAAGGTGTAATTGAATAGTGTCATAACTATGTAAGTGAATATTTAAGATCCTAGTGATACAGCACATTTTCGTAGCTTGAACACATCACAACCGACACAGCACGCTAAGTCGGAGCCCTACACCACACGTCCCGTCCTGGGGGCTCGGGACGGTGCCATCTGACGCACCATCAGCCTTCGCACCATAGTATAAAACCCCTAGTTGGCTTCCGGCCAGGGAAGAGATTGAAAAAAGCAATTCCTCTCGTTACTAGCTTGCTCGTCGAAGGGGCCATGGCCGAGTACCACCCGACGAAGGCCATTTTGCAGGAGGGCTACCACTCATCGACGGTGAGGGACTCGGCACGGGAGTGCGACTCGCTTGGCACCAAGGAGTCGCCAATCAGCCCCGATCCCGACCAACGCCAACCAGCACTCCTTCCCGAGAGCTCGGGTACCTCATCATCCGAATCACCTCGCAGAAAGCGCCCGACATCGGCCCGTGGACCTAGCCGTGCTGACTCTCCAGCCACAGCACATTTGTTCACCAACATTTTGACGCTAGAAGGAGGGCATGTCGTAGGAGTATCCCGCGGGAGCTCTCCTCAATAGAGAACCACCGACCGGTCACCCTTCTATTGGGCCCGAGATCAGCCCCTCCCTGTCCTTCGAGATGGGGGGATCCCGGCCTCGACGCCAGATTGCTACCGGCGCCCGTTCAACAACCCAGGGTTATAACCCCCCCGGACTTACCATGGGACCCTCGGCCGTATCGCCCGAGGCGTTCCTTGGCCTGACCAAGCAAGTGCAGGCAATGGCAGGGATGATGCAGACGCTCATCCCACTCATTCCTCGGGTCGTGCGGCTAGCAGCTCCCCTGACCGACCCGACCCGACAAAGACCGAGCAAGGTGTAGGTCTGGACGGGAGAAGTCCGAGACCAAACGACGGACCCGAGAGTTCCACCAGAGCAGAGCATACCCGCACCCTGCGAATCACACCGCCCCGCTCCGAGCCTGACACCATATCGTCCGACTCACCAGATGACTCGTTTAGGATCCAGCTGTCTTGGGTCAACCAAGCCCTGGACGAGTTCCAGCGTGAGTTCTAAAATTCGCGGAGCGAGTCGAATGAAGGCGACTAGGGCGACTCCCCTTTTACTCAGGAAATACAGGATAAGCTTGTACCCCTCAACTTCAGGTTGCCAGCATTGGAGAGGTACGACGGCGGCTCTGACCCTACGGAGCATGTCGCGACGTTTCGGGCTCAGATGACCCTCTACGGCACCTCGGATGCCCTGATGTGTCGAGCGTTCCGGACCACCTTCAGAGGACCGGTACGAACATGGTTCAACCGGCTACACCCGCTCTCAATCTCATCCTTCAACCAGCTCGCAAAGGAGTTCGAGCAAAACTTCCTCACCAGCGTGCGACCTAAGCCTTCCATCGCTACCCTGCTAGCATTATCTCAACACGAGGGCGAATCGCTCTCCCAATTCGTCGCGAAAATCCGGGGATTCTCGGACGCTCACCCTTTTGTAACCATGCAGGCATTCCTGAGGGGCTTGAGGCCCTCGAGGCTCTTTTGGTCACTCATCGAGAAGCCACCCACGACCATCCCCGAGATGCTCCAGCGCGCCAATCAGTACATCGCTGCTGAATCCCTAATGGCGAGGAGGCGCGAGGACAACAAGAGGTCGAGGATGGAGCATCCTTGACTTGTGACTCGTCGACCCAGCTTCTGCCCAAGTTGCTCCATGTCGATCCCCGACTTGCGACTCATCGGCCCAACTCTTGCCCGAGTCGCTCCATGTCAATCCCCGACTTGCGACTCGCCGGCCCAGCTTTTGCCCGAGTCGCTCCATGTCAATCCCTGACTTGCGACTCGTCGGCCCAGCTTCTGCTCGAGTCGCTCCATGTCGATCCTCGACTTGTGACTCGCCAGCCCATCTTCTGCCCGAGTCGCTCCATGTCAATCC